TATCCTAAAATTGATGAGTACATGATCAATTTGGTTCCAGGTTTCTTCATCAGGTGAGCACAAGTCATCTTATGTATAGTCTTGGGGCTGAACACAGTGCGTGAAATTATCATGTTGTGTTCAGCAGCAAAAAGTACTAGTCGTTGTCCATTGTCATTAGTACTATCATGTAAGCCATGCTTTCCAATTGTTGGTCTAAATTCATCCTCTTTACCCAATTTAGCATTTATATCTCCCATAATAATTTTAATGTCATGCTTGGGACAAGATCTGTATAACATAGGAAGTTCCTCATAAAATATTTCCTTCTCTTCCTCTTCCTTGTCCTTTGTAGGTGCATGTCTGTTAATAATACTATAACTAAAAAATTTTCCCCTTAGCCGAATTTTGCAAAGTCTGGGTGATTTAGGAACAAAATCAATCACTGTTTTAAACCTTTGTTCAATAAGAAACCAGTACCAAAAATATGTTTTTCACATCACAGCTATAGTAAACCATGTGGTTTCTTTTCTCAATAGTACCTTTCCCAAGCCATCACATTTCCTGAATAGCAAGTAGATCCATATCATATTTGTCAAATTCCTCTATAAGAAATTTCAGTCCCCTACTGTAGTACAGTTTTCGGACATTCCAGATTCCAAAACGAAAAGTCCTTAGGCCATTTCCAAGTCGTTTTCCAGTAGTTGGCCCAACCCCCAACCTGGAAGACGAGTCCCCTGATATAATCCCCAGGGGCAGGGTGTCCGGCTATACCCCCAGATGCTGGGTATGCATTTTAGTCGCCTTTTATGACATGCATGAACTACATTGGGACTATTCTTTCACATCCGGTCAAGATTTAGCTTTTTTAGTAGACTTAACAGAACGTATGAGTGATTTAAATTTGAGACTTCAAGGAAAAAATCAACTTATTAATAATATGTTCCAAACAATAACAACATACGAAAGAAAATTAAAATTTTGGCACAATCAAATAAAAGTAAAAGATTTGATACATTTGAGTACTTTAACTGTACATAAACCTCCGAGTTGCACAAAATATTTAAAATATGTTGCATTAATTTTTGATTAAATTAAAGTGTTTGAAAGTAGATGTCAAAGATTTTTTAAAAAATGAAGAGTATTTCAACATATTTTCTACCCCATTTTCTTTGGAAATAAGTAAATTACCTTCAAATTTTCAAATGGAATGCATTGAAATGCAAAGTGACATTCAACTGAAATAAAAATTTAAAAATGTTTCTTTACTGGAGTTTTATAAAGCTTACCTACCCCATGATAAATATCCTAATTTTCACAATCATGCTTTATTAATGTATTCAGCTTTTTGCACTATATTTGTGAACAATTATTTTCAAGAATGAACATCAAACATCTTGAAACGTCTTGGAACATTTCAAACATCTTGAAAATGCATTATGATTGCAACCTCCTCTATTGAAACCAATATCGATTTGCATGTTTAACAAAAGCAAATTCACCCATCTCATTAGTTTGAATTTTTCCATCTGTATGAAATCTAAACTAAATGAAACGAAACTTGTACAAATTAATTATAAATATGTACCTATACAATATCTAATTTAAATTGAAAAAATAATAATAGAAAGAAGTTAATTTATTTTAGTAAAATAATATAGCACTCATTTTTATTTTAACTTACAAAATATTATATATGTGGCCTCGCAAATTTTTTTTTTTTAAGCAATGCGGCTCCGCAAATATTTTTTCTTTGCAATGTGGCCCTCAAACAGTCATACTTTAGACACCCATGATGTTGATGATGTTTGTGGACATACTTTCTTATGTGAAATCGATTTCGTAACATCTTCCCTAACTCCCTTCGAAATTTGAATGATAAGTTTTGAAACACCCTGTATTTACAAACTCTCTGCCAATTTGAAGAGCAGTGTAAGTAGTACACTTATGGTTAAATACTCCTTTGAGCAACCAAGCTCTGTAGATGAATAGGGCAGGAGGAAAAAAATAGATATAAAAGCAGCTTTAAAATTTGAGAAATCTTAGAAATTGCGATTAGACAGTACTGCAATAGATACTTTCCTTTCAACATACATGTGACTTGAACATTAGATATCTTCCAGTTCTGCAGAATATAGCAATAATAATAATAAAAAAGAACTTGATTGAACCATTTATTCCAGCTCCAGCTGACAAAGTAGATGGGTCATTTGCGAAAGCTCTTAATTTACTAGTTTTAACATGGTTAGCAAGTTTTATTTAATTCTAACTGTTAGGTTCATTTCAAATCTTCTCTGAGTGACTTCTAGGATAATAATAATCTGCAGTAATTGTGATTAAGTACCATGACTACAGTTATGAAGCTTTATTTGCATGCATAACAATAAAATATTTTAGACGAGTAGTTCATGTTCCTGTTTTTATATAGGCCAACGTATTCTTTCCTGCTAATCAAAAACAGGTAGTGTTCTGTTATTGGGACTGCATTTGTCACCAAATATTTTGCTAATCTCGCCAAGAGACTGGTTCATGTGAAGTCAGCAATATTTAATTTTAAAAATACCTTTTAAAATTGGCAGCAAGAGCAGAAATTCTAAAGCTGTAACTCATTTGTTGTTGTATTTACCGCGGATACAAAATTTTGGGACTTAGATTAGATGAAACGGCTTCCATGCAATTTCTTCAGGAAGAGGAAATATTCATTGTGAAAGAAAATGCATGGGAAACCATAAAATGAAGCTCTAATTCATATAGAATTGAATGAAATGAGAATGTGAAGATGACATGTCAAGAAAAAAAGATTACATAAATTTGGTTTGCAGGATTGAGAATCAGTTTCTTATCAGCAAATTGTTTCATTTATGCATAGTGTTTAGAATTAACTTCCCTTGAATTTGATCAGTATCAAATTGATATGAATCAATGCAGTGTTGTTGCTTGGAACGGTTTAATAAGGGAAGCCTGTAACCATGCATTAATTTGTAATAAATGTAAACCATCAGTTATAATAGGCGGCACTGGTAATATTGTCAATGTCTGTTTTTGCAACTGCTTTGGTCATGTCCTTCCACCCCAGTGGGTATACAGGAAACTTGCAATGAAACAAAAGAATGTTTTTTTAGTTGCTGTGCCTAACTGCTGTGCCAGAAATTAGTTTAAAGTTAATGAAGAAAATGATCATCCTCGTTTGGACCTAAGTGAAGTGGCTAGCTGCATTTTTTTAAAAAAATTTTCCCATGCATAATGTGAATATGAGCATTTTCTCTTAGAAATTCTGGTACTTTTCCGTTTTACCGGCACAGGCAATAAAGTTGCCAATAATGGTACGACTGATACCAAATGGATTATCTTCACTGGTAACCTTTTATGCTTCATTTTCAAAACAAGTCACAGTCATTTCTTATCAGATTGATTGTTTCTTTCAGTACTGGCATACAATTACATAGAATTTTTACTAGATAGTTAAATTTTATGACCTAAGGCTATTTGGGGTAATTAAGTCAATTAGGATGCAATCACACCGCTCACCCGAAGGCGAAAATTATGCAAAGTCAAGGGTTAAATTCATCAATTCTAATGAGAATTCACTAGCAAAGTAAAGCACTGTGGTTTTGTATATTTCTGAGTAAGCTATTCATACGAATTGAAATAATTCTTGCATTTAAACTTGTATTCCAAATTAAGATTTAACTTGAAGTTAATGTAGATAATTACTAAGAGAATAAGATTTCTGTAGCATAGTTTATATGAGGTGAGATCATTTGGGGTCACTTGATATGAACCGACGAATCAGAATGTTGAACCATGAAAGCATAGTAAATTCTTAAATTAATGTCTTTTTTACAAAATTTTAAATGATATTAAAATGTTTATGCCTTCAAAATAAAAAATTCTTAGAACTAACATTTATTAAAATTTTCTATGTGTATACTGTATGTTGTCGTCAATAAAGTCTATTTGACAAAACGGAAAAATACCAAAAGTCCTTCATAAAGGCATCCTTTTCCTTAGGCAGATAACCCTCATGTGCTTTGGTGTATTCAAATAATCTAACCCGTTTTCTGTTAAAAAACATCTGAGAATTGCACTAATTCAGCATTGTGCATATTAACCATTATATCACTACAGAGCTGTTCATGGACTACCACATTTGGTAATTTGGTGCACGATTGATAACTGACATCCAGTTAACAGAAATGTAATATTTTTTTGCTTGTTCTAAATTTGAAAAATTTCAAGCTGCTGTATGATTGTTACTTTTTAAATTTGATATAAAAGAACATTGAAAAAAGTACTACCTCTTCATTCTGAGAGTGAAGCAAAGAAACAGTAATTAATTGTAAATTAAAATTAATTTGTGAACGTTATAATTGAGCATTCAATCGTTTTGCATACTTCATTTCAACCACTTGAGCAACAGTCAACTTATGTTGATTGTGCTGTATGTGTGCAGAAAGATTTAATATTCAAGTTAGACATTTGAAATGAATTTTAGCTTATAATTATTTATTAGGCATTTTCTTTGTTTCTCTTTCAGAAAGTGATGATCTTTTTTTGATGACAATTCAAACAAATCTAAAATACATAAATAAAAATAATGAAGAGCAGCTGGAAAATTTTGATAATGAAAACATATATGAACATTTACAAGGAAATCTGATAATGTCCAAAGCCAATTTTAATGTAGTTTGGACATGTTGGCTGTTAGTGGTCAAAATATGAAAATTTGAATATTTGTAAACAAAATGTAACATTCCAAGTATGCAACTGTGTGTATGCGTGTGGTTACATATGACCTTTTAATGCATGTGAACTTATTTAATGAAGTGTATTCTGCCATATTTGGTGTATTTTCCCGTTACATTTATGAATACATAATCAGAAAGTACCAAAATTATTTCTGATTTAATCTAGAATGATTATTGATGAAAATGTAATATTGTTAATACGGCTGTGTGTGGTACAGTTAATATTATTTTTGTGTATTTTGGGTACTATTAATATTATTTTCTGTTTCCAAGGGTCGACACCGATTCGTAAAACTTTTATTGGCATATGGTTCCTCTTGGCAGCAGAGAAACTTTTTGGGACTTACTCCATTACATCTAGCTGCTGCTTATCCTTCTACTAAATGCTTATCTCTGATACTTAAATACGTAAAACGTGGAGAAACTGATATTCAAGATAGCAAAAAGGTAATTTTGAAAAATATTCTGTAGTTTTTCAGTGTGGACAAAATAATGCCAGATAATTTTGTTATTAGGCAAGCTTAATATAAAGTTATGTTGTATGCTGCAATTTGGTTTTCTCGATAACGTAACTGTGTGACATTCAGGCTGTTTATATATATATATATATATATTTTCACAGTGTTACTGAATTAACCCTCTTGGCAGCACCTTTTTTTTTTATCTGCTTTGAAGTCATGCAACATTTAATCAGTATTTATTAGTTACATTACTAATTATATTAATTTGAGTAATTAGTTACATTTACTAATTTTGCCTCTGTTTTCATAACCTTCCATTCATTAGAATGATATCTAGGTTATTGAAGAAAATAAGAAAGCAGAATATTTTAAATAACAAATTAATATTGTACCAAGGGACAACATATCTCATGATGACATAACAATCCAAGACACTGGATATAGTGCTTTTTCAGGGGTCTACAATGTCCATTTTCCCTAAGGAAGAAAAGAAAATTTATGAAATACAGGATGATTCTGCACCCATAAGACATAGGCCTTTTTGGTCCTAAGTGGTAATCGGGTCCAGTCTCAAGACCAGATGATAAAAGTCTTTCTTCTTAGAGGGTTAATGAATTCGGAATTCTGTCTTTAACATTTTTTAAAGGCTTAAACTTTTTAAATCTCTTTATATTTATTTAGCAAAACTGGTATTTTTGCATAGTGTTTGTTCCTGTGAATTTTTAAGCTTAATACGAATGTGGTATGTTTTGGTTTTATGTAGTATGTTTTGGTTTTATGTGGTATGTGTATGTTTTTAATGTGGTATGTTTTGGAACAGTCATAAGTATATAGTATGGGTGCATGTAATATACAGGCTATCCCATAATGACAGACCACAATTTAAATAGATATAGCTGGAGTTGCAATAATAATTTTGAATGCAAACTGCAATAAATGCATATCTGATATACAGGAGTTTTGCACACTGCATTAAGTTTTTTAAATCATCCCTTCAGGTGGCCATCATTATGAGAACATTCTTGTGCTTTTGTCTTGATGCTGCAGTGGAGCATGCTGACTGGAATGGCTGTAATTTCCCTACTGATTTCTTTCTTTAGTGTGTGAGCTGTTCAGGTGTTGTGGCTTGAACTTATATAGAAATTTTAAATAATGGTTAATTTTTTTTTTTTTTTTGCTTGGTTTTTGGAATGGCAACAAAAAGATTGTTCAATTTTGTTGTTCTAAAAATTGTTTATGTTTTCTAAGAGCTTTAATAAAGATTATTTTCGAATTAAAAAACATGGACTAAAGTTATTTAAAGAAATGAAGTTCTAATTATAAAGATTAATTTGGAATCGGGAACCAATTATTGGCGACTTGGAATTTTGATTTTAAAGTGAATATGGCTGAAGACCTATAAAACTGTTGAAGATACTACACATGAACTGTGAAAGGTCAGTGTTAAAATTCCTCCCAAGTAGAGGCTCAGTGTAAGATAAATGGAATTGTTTTGGAGGAAACCAAATTTAACTACTTAGTATCACAGCTAGAACCCAAATATGTTGAGAACATCTGGGATATCGTAACAAATAATTCCGCTACTAAATATTCAGAATCCAAAACAAGTCTTCTGGATATATTTAAGGTAAGTGAAAAGTACTTGAATTAAAAAAACTTCTTACAGGAATCGATTTAGGCAACTTGAAACCAAGTCAATTATTACAAAACTTAAAATCTGTTGCAACATCGGATGTGTTCAAAAATTTAATCAAAACATTATTTTTGGAGAAATTGCCCAATTCCATGTGTAATATAATACTTGTTAGTGACGAAGAATTACCCTAAGTTGGTGATCATGGCTGATAAAATTTCAGACATGATGCTTTCTAATGAGATTTGTGGTGTATGAACAACTTTCAATCCCGCAGACGATCTTGCAGTATTTCTAGGAAAAGATTTAATCCTAAAGGAAATATTGTTTTTATTATTTCCATTTTGCTAACAAATGTCATCAGGATAAATGTACTCAGCCGTGCAGTTGGGCAACTAATAAGTCATCCAATCGGGGAAACGACAGTGCACAGTAGAGGAGGCGGCAAGCTCTACTGTCTATAATTTTCCAGAGTTTCGCCTATTTATCAGAGATAAAAAATTGGAAGTGCCTGTTTTAGTGGATAGTGGTGCGTACGTTAGCATTTTACCTGCATCAACACAAGAGAAACAATTCGCAGATTTCAAGTTGTATGCAGCGAATGGTAATGAAATTGAAACATATGGTATAAAAATGTTAATACTTAATTTGGGACTTAGGCATGAATTCCAATTTCCATTTATAGTGGCCAAAATTATTAACCTGAAATGATTTGAGAATTTATCTTAGAAATAAAATGGTGAATATGAATGCATTTTCCTTTATCAACGGATATGTATATATTTAATCACCCTGATATCAGGCTTGAATGGCTGAGGTAACATGTGTTTGTTTCGTTTCACAGTGTATTCATTATGCTCATCTGCATTTATAACATGATGTGTGTCTTGTCTTCACTTTTTACTTGATTTTTTTAGAAGCTGGTCAACGAATGACAAGCATAATGGTTAAAATCGGAAGACATTATTTCTGTGTGCATTTTGAACCCAGTCTCGTAATTACGTAGAGGAAGAGGGGTAGAATTTTTTATTTTATTATTTATTATATATTCTCATTTAAGATACACGTCTTATGTTTTGAAATCTTTAATTGTTGAAATTATTAAAGTTTTTCACTGAAATATCTGACAACTTGAAAACAAGTTCAATAAAAGCATTTAAAAACCTTTGAAAAGTTATTGCACATTTTATATGCAGTGTGTGTTTATAAACGCACATTGCTAACAGGAAATTGTATTTCATGCTTCATCATTAACCATTAAACCATTCTAAGCTAGCATCGGGAGATCAGGATAGTCACAAATGGAATCTATGTAATCTGTGACCATTATGTGATTAAGATAAATTTTATTCTCTTATTTTCTATTGGAAAGTTTGTTAGCAACGTAAATACATTATCAGAATCATGTCTTATAATATTGCTATGCTTTTGCGAGATTAGGGAAACCATGTACTGTTGGAGAAGAACTGATTCTATTAGCCATAAAGAAAATAATACAAACTTTGCCGGACAAATCACCAACCAAAATCATCAAAAATATTACTTTTTGTCATGATACTGCCTAAAAATTCAGTGAGATGTCAGAAAATGCTGAAAAATCTCCTTTGTAGCTTTTTAAAAACACGTTATTTTGGAAAGGAGTATAGAAATACACCTTTGCCAGGTAATGAAGCCTTATATCTTGTGTATGTGCGTTTCATAAAAGAACAGCAAATCTGCCTAAAGAATTTGCCCAAAATTTATAAACTAATAATAAAGGATAATTCTTATTTCATGTTATGAAAGGAGTTGTTGAACAGAATGTACTTCCTTTAAATAAAATATTGTCAGTTGCTGCTTTTACTGCTCTAGCAATAATTGGATGCTACAATGGTTTTACTGCACATTTGTAAACAGGGATACTAAATATATTTGCTATACACTGTGTGATTTAGAAGCAACGGTTAGCAGCAAAACATCGGATTGAATGCTCAGATAAATTTCTTCGTTTCATCATCAGAGTGGGAAATCAAATCAAATGTTAGTATTTGAATGACAAGCTGTTTAGACAACTCAGTATTGTAAATTATAAAAAATTTAATCGTGTACTTCTTCATACAAATTTGTTGGTTTGTCTGCAAAAGCAGGTACTAGTTTGTAGCAGATACTGGTCATAGCATTCCCAAGTTTAAAGTGTATAAAAGTCTGGAATGGATAGAGTTTAGTCCTTTTTTAAATCTGGCGACTATAGGAAAAAAAATGATGATCATGTGCTTGAATATTACCAACATATGAAAACTCTGGAACTGGACTTAAAAAATTCCAAATAAAAAATTTAAGTGTAAATTTTTGATTGGTTTTTGGATCCATTTTTCCTGTGTAATTTCAAAAGCATCTCAAAACTTTGAAAATTTATTAAAAGCAAATGGAGAGCTGAAATTTAAACTTGGGTCTGAATACCAACACTTGACACTGCAGAATGCCTGTACCTGAACTTATAGAATGTTGTAGAGAAATTTTTTGTAGTACTTCCTCTTTCTTGCTGAGCAAAATCCAGGTTCAGTGCAATGGCAGGTCTAATTAACTAATAAAAGAAATCAGCTGCAGATAATTCATCATTAATATCTGGGAATGTTGTTAACGGAAATTGAGCTGAATATTGACGAACTGGTAGTAGCTCATCAGGTTTACCCTTCTCATTGAACTTATTTTGTTACTAGTTTAATTTGTAGTCCTATCCTTTATGTAGTTTAGTTAAGTATGATTGCATATTTATTGTTAATTTCATTATTCTAAAAATAACCCAACCTCATCATTGTTTTCTGTTTCTTACACCTTTACATATTTAAAATAATGCAGATATGGTTTTTTGGGGCATTGGGCATTAGATGTTTTTAAAAGTGGTAGTAAACAGAAAAAAATTGAGAAACAATGTTGTAGATTGAAAAACTCACTTCCAAATAATTTTTAAATCTGTATTAAATTGGAGATAAAGTGACACCTTTGTTAGGCAAAAATCTAATTATGATTAGCTGCACAAGGCTATTGCAAACTTCCTGGTGCTACATGTTGGTTGCAACAGACCTTGCTGTTTATACTTGAATGCCCTTTGTAATTAAATTTATCTAATTATTTTATCTTAACTCTTATTTAATGTGAAAATTAACAAATCTGTGTAATGAAAAATGTTTAAACTAAAATGATTCCAGCATACTAGAATATGGGACCATTAGAGAGTCCCATATTCTAGTATGCTGGAATCAAATAATGTTGAATTTCAGTACCTTTCATATTCTACTGAGTTAAGTTCTGCAAAATATTAAGTAATCAAAATATATTGTTTAGAGAAACTGTATTTTTATACTGTTTTTCACTGTAAAGCTATCATTGATTGTGTAACATTTTTACAGAAAACTGCTTTACATTGGAGTGCAATTCGCTCAAATCCTGATCATATAAAACTTCTACTTGCTCACGTAGGTATTTTTCATATTATTCAACTGGAAACAAAATTGACTGTGTATTTCAGAATTTGCAATCCTGTAATACATCTAAAATTATGCCTATTTTAATTAATTTATTTATAATCTTTATGTGTAGGAAACAAATGCTTAATATTTTATTTCATGAAATTTTTGTTTGCTCCAAATGTTGTGAGTAACGAACTCTTTAAAGTAATGTTTAAGAATGATGCTGAATAATAATGCTTCTGATGATTCAAAATTGCTTATTCATGTATGTTTCATGTTCAAAATGTTCAAAATGTTTCCTTATAATAAATGAAAACTACTGAATTAATAAAATTTAAATTAGGCAAATTCCATTTCCTTATCTCTGATTTTCAAGTAATTTTTCTTATTAAATTTTATTTTATCTGATTTGTATGTATTCCTTATTGCATTTTATTGATCTTTGTTGTAGTAAATTTCATTTGACCTGAGTTGTCTTAATCTACTGTAGACATCTGTAGATTTTTATATAAAGATTCAAAGCAATGTTTAATCAGTAGATATTTGTGCTTTATTTTGTTTACCTCAATTATGGTACATTACTAAGTTTATCCAAATACATGCAATGTAAATTAATTATATTTTCATAGTATTTAAAAACACTTTGATAAGTAAAAGCTTTCCTTCACTATTTGGGGTTTTCAAAAATGGAATTAGCCATGTAACATAAAATTTAAATAACCAATTAAATACTATTAGAGTTGAGTTACAAATAGTTGAGTATCAGCATGCAATGAGAAAAACATCCTGGTTTTTAAAATTTCAAGGTTGACAGTTATGGCATAAGTAAGCTCTTATGCTCACTTGCCATGCTTTTAAGCACAATTCCAGGTTCTTTCAAATGGTAATGATGATCACTTAACCTAATCTGTCTACTCTTCAACAGCTGTCTGCGTATTCCTGTCAGTTGCAGTTTTTAGCACATCGCTATATATGGGGGGGGGGAAGCAGCATGTCCAAAGCAGTTTGCACCTTTAAAACTAAGATTGCCGTATTGAAATTTCAGAACCATTGATGGTATTTGTGATACCTTCACTTCCTTCTCATTTTTTACAGCATTTGCTGTAGTATTGTCCATTTTATACTTGTAAAGGGAGCTGTCATAGTAATAAATTAGTGCCCATTTTCTCACAAGCCAGAAATTATCTGAATGAAAATGTCCTTGCACAGTGGTATTTACTCATAAATGTAAAGTAATTTTACTTTACATATGTTAGAACATCTTGACTTGAAAAATATAATAAATTTTACTAAATGTAATAAAATACAAATCTAATTTAAAATATCAAATGTTCACAAACAGAACAGATGAGCAATAGATACTGATTCTAGAGCAATTGATACTGATTTTTGAGTTCATTTATGATAAACTGTATTTTCATTGTCTTATTTTTCCAAATAAAATTCTGCAGTAATCCAAACTCATTGGCTATAAGATATTTTGTACATTGTTCATCTAAATACTTCTATCATTGTTTGCAACAATAATCACCTGTGTGATCAATCTTATGTGGACCTAAATCTGTTGATAATGAACTGGATGAAGCTGAGGCTTCTTCATGTATTTGAAAATAGTCTGTGATGTTGTTTTTGCTTTTTATTTTCATAATAGCATTTTGATCATTTTTGAGCAACTTATTTGCTCGCTCCCTCTTTTCTTCTTCATTTATCTGAACAGCTGCTCACTTCTTTCTGTTTCCAAAAATTTTTTCATTTACTCATTAAAATTTTTTTTATTAATTTCAGTGAAACAAAACTCACAAACTGTTAACCATTCACAACCTCGTCCAAAAATCAGCTGAGCCAGAGGCATTCACCAGATGATAATGGGCAGTAGTGGTGGTGCACAGCCACTTACTGTGCTTGAACACAGCATATGACATCATTAAAATGGCCATGATTTTAGCTAATTTTTATCACTTAACTGTGGCTGAACTGCAGTTCCAAATTCCAAAATTCTTTTTGTCTTTTATCATGTACACCTTGTCTATCAAACATGACATAAATCAACACTATGTTTTGTAAATGCAGAGACCTAAGCATTTTCGTCATATGCAGAAACATAATTTTCCATGGAAGAACTTAAGTCTATGTTAAAATACTAGCATTTATTTATAAGCAGGTGCGTTTTTCAGTGCTTCTTGTACCCATCAGTTATGAAGTGTGTAAGACTGATGGAATGTTGGTGGTTTGTTTGTTTTGTTCATCCTGGGTTTGATCTTGCCTAATGTGCATGCAAGTCTGTTTCTGTTTAAAGTCCACATAAAGGCATCTCTTACAAGAGAGGTAGTTACCATGTAATTTGCTATAATCACTTAACCAACCAATCACCTTCACTTACTTTTATATCAGTATCAGGATCTGATTATTTGAACCTATTCCTATCGACATCGTGAATCAATATAAATTTATTTTACATTAAAAATCTGGTTCTTGTACATTATGTTCTTCTCAAGCAGCATTTAGTGATATAATATTTTTAAATGAGTGTAGCAATAATCTTGCTTAGATTAGTTTCCAAGTCATTTATATCCATTCAATGATTTTTTTTTGCAGGCACTTTGTTTTTTAGAAGATATCAGAGAAAAATTGCATATTAATAGCCAAATTTCAGGTTCTTTAGCATCCAAGCTTTAAAAGTGTAAAGCTTTAAAAATTTAAGAAAAGTATTTTGTAAGATACTATCAATTCTAACAGGCCCATCTTTTTTAAAAGTGTTTTTTATGGGGGAAAATATTTTGCAGTGAAAAAATATGTTGTAATTATTAGCTTTTGTAAAAATAGGTGTAGACTTTCTTAAATACATTTAAGTATCCTTCCTTCAAGTTAAAGAATTATGTTTCTAATTGCAGTTTTCATTTGCAGTATTTTACAGGTAATTTTAGATATCTTCTTTTATTTTTTTTTAATGCAGAGTTCAAATTGTTTAATAAAGGTCATTTGAATTGTTATTTCTTGTTGCTGTTTATTGCATTGTATTAAAATTTCTTTCTTATCCTAAAAGTATATTAGGAACATGTTAAATTTAAATGTAGCTGGTCTTCACTTTTTTTTTTAATAGGGTGCAAATATCTGCATACCTGATGAGCAAGGTAAAACTCCATTACATTGGGCCGCGATGAATTTACTTCCTCGAGCCCTTAATTGTGTCAAATTATTATTGGTATTTATAATTCCATACATTATTTTTTAAAGCTTTTACCTTATTTATTTCTGAAGTACTTTAGAAGTATTTAGAAGCATTATTTTGTATCACAGAATAATTTTATCTCTTTTGCATTTATTTGAAAATTCCACAGTGTTAAAAAAGTAAAAATCTCATTTCTGTAATTTTCTAAATGATCTGACTAACTTTAGAACTATGCAGTCAGGGTGTGTTCTGTATTCTGTTAAACTTTGGTTTCTTTTCTGTTTATGTTTGCAGTTATGGAATAATGTGTGAAGTAATTTAACACATAGTCATTGATATGAAATACACTGCTCAAGACAATAAGGAGGTATTATGAGTTTGGATATATACTGTGAATGAGGAAACGTTTTGTTAACTGATATATGATCGGTAGGTGTTGTAAGCTATGAGAGAAAAAATCACGTGCAGAGCAAGTATTAATAAAATTTGTTTCTTGTATTTTTTTTGGTTGAAAGATAAAAATACACATTTTGTACCTGTTGTAAAAATTTGTAAAAAGTATGATTTGATAAATTTTAATAAGGGATATGTTTTTTTTAACCAAAAGCAATGTTGCTCACCTGCGAGGCATTGAATCACTGTTGTCATTTGGGAAGGATTGGGGTATTGTCTTCCATTCTTGTAGAAAAGCGACGTTCAGCTGCCCAATTGTTTCTGGGGGTTGTCTGTAAACTCTAAACTTTATTATCCATATTTTATCATTACATAACTTTATCATCCATTATAATTATCCATACTTTCTGTGGAAATTTCTTAAAAAGTATGAGCTATGGGAAAACTGAATTTTACATAAAGAGCCAAGATGAAAACTATATACAAAACGGATCCATCCAATAACTAGCAAAATGCTTGTGACATATATTATGTGTTAAAAATATTACTGGTTTTGAAGAGTAACCAATCATAGTTCTACAAGTTTTTATTCTTAATCTTCCCAATCACAAATCCTGCAATCACCCTGTAGGTTATTCAGCTTCGTTCACTAAATTATAGCATGAAAAAACAGCATATTTTTCTAGTGAGTTTAAACTGGAAGTTTTTTGTTTGGGAATTACAATGTCTTAAAACAAAAGGCTGAATTTATCAAGACAGACATGTAAAAACTTATTGTGCAGGTACAAGTAGAAGTGAATGAGGTACCAGAATTTCACCATTGGCCATGTACTTATAATTCTGCTGCACTAACTGTGTAGTTCCGCTTGTTATTTTATTCAGACAATGCTAGTAATTTGTGGAAAGTTTAGACATGTACCATTATTTATCAAAATGCATCAACCAGCTATAATTTTCTAAGATTATTCATGTGTAGAAACTGAGTGTTAAATTTATATGCTTTCATTGTTGTCAGTGTAACTCCATGTGTTTAGTGCATGTAACTTTGTAATTCTGAATTTGGCTGCAAAAAAGGTGTTTTATGTTTATTAAATTTAACAATAGATTTGTCTTCATATTCATAGTTAGATATTTAAATGTAAACTTTGTAATTATTAGTGTTACAAAGAATAAAAACAGTGTTGTGTTATTACTTTGCATATTATTTAGTTTTCGCGTATTAGGAACATTGATTTACTGTGGTGTTTTGAAATTGATATCTGACACATGCGAGCTCTTGCATGTAGCTGCAAAGTAGCTACTGAAAAATTAACTGCAATAGTAATAGAGATATTAACATATAATTATTTAGAGAAAAGTTCAAAAAAGAAAGCATAACTTCAAGTCTGCTCGACAGTATGCAGAAAATTTTGAAATACTAAGTACAAGATAGCTTTCTCTTTTTACAGTCTGTAACAAGAATTCTGAAACAATGCTCTGATTTAATTTCTTTTTGGTGCTCAATGCGAAAATCAGGAGAACGGAGGAAAGAGATTGCAAACAGTTGAAACATGTTAAAATCGCCTGCTGCCAAAGTGTAGTTATTATTTTTGAAAAATAATTTGCCTTTGTGTATAATAATAAATATTAATTTGCAATAAGTTGCTCTTGATATACATAAACTGTGAAGAGAACTTATTGAACTTTTAATGCATTTGTTTGTTAGGTTTGTAAAACAATTTGTAATTTATGAAAAACACTCAGAAGTCAATCTGATGTCAATTCCATTTCAAAAGTGTAGTAAGCGAAATCAAGATTTACTGATTTTTTACTGAAACCAGTTTATATTTAAAAAATGCCACATTGAATGAAAGTGAAATAATTTTATTAAATTCAGTACAGGCTTTTTTGTAATTACATGTTTGTATATAAAAGATTAATTTCTGCTAAATGATCCATTTTAAAACTTATTAAAATTGCGGACATTCACTTGAGAACCAAAATTTCATTTCATGGTGAATACTTTCCCATTCATTATTGATGAAAATTTTTTTTATCAAGTAGAAATTTAGTTATCTATTGGATGGTTCATATGTTCTAGCTTTTTTTTTAAGTTTAGGTTTCCACGAAAGTAACAAGAAATGAGGAAAAAAAAAAAAAAAAAAAAAATCAATCAATAATGTATCCTCTGTTGTTTTTTACATCCTCTGTTGTTTTCCAACATTCAACAAGCTGTTCTGTGCCTTCACGGTAGAAATCACCTGGTTTCCAGGAATGGATGCAAATCCAAAGGCACCAAGTCAGGAGAATGTGGGGGGGGGGTGGCAACACTTCCCACCCAAATGTTTGAATTCCTTCCTTGGTTCTGAGTGTGAAGGTGAGTGTTGTGTTGCAGAACAATGCTATGTCGCTGGTCAGGTCGTTTTTTCTCGATAGCATTAAGTTGTGCTGTAAAGTTCGTCATTTACTGTTTGGTTCTGATCAAGCAATTCATAGTAGGTTGTGCCTTCCCAGTCCTGCCATATGCACACTATCGTTTTTTTTTGCAGGTGAAAATCTTGTTTTGCTCACGTTGTTGCCCATTTGTCGGGGCTAAGCTATTCCATTCTTTGCACTTGCTTCATATTGACACACAGGCATCATTTTTCATTGCCAGTAACAATTTAATAGAGGAATCTCTGCTTGTGTCCATCAATTGACTGATGATGAGCAAGCAAACCGACAGATACCATAGCATGTTGATTTTTAATGTCGTTCTAAGTGTGGAACACATGCACCCAACTTTTGAACCTTTCCCTTGAGTACAGGTGACGCTGTATAGTACTGTGGGAGTATTCCATTATCTCTGCCAACCCTCTCGTCATTTGGCATTAGTCTTCATGAATAAACTGATTTAGTCATGCCTCATCGAACCGAATGGAGCATCTGGTGCAGTGTATGTCTTTGAGGTCAAAATTGCCATCTTTGAATCTCTTAGACCAATTTTGAGCTATCCTAAGAAGCATTGCTTTGTTGCCATACATTTCACAAATCTCTAGAGCAGCTTCTGTGGCTTTGGCACCTTGATAAAACGTGAAAAGCAGGTGTTGAAAATGCTCTTTTTTTGTTAACCTGACACTCCATTTTAATGACTTAAAAATAACACATTATATCAACATTAAAAAATTAAATGCACTATTTTATAGAGCACATAATTCTCTATCAAATAACATAAAACACATTTTCAAAACATTTTATTTTTCATGCAAAATTAACTTAAAAAGCAAAATTAACTTTCATTTAAAAGAAAAATACAGGACTTGTGGGCCAACCGAATATGTAGTAAGCTGATAATTTAAAAGAAGTTGCAGATTTATGCATTGATAGCACAGGGACAAATGACAAAATTAAAAGTTTGATAAGTTCATTAAGTACAAAGCATTTCCTATTTTGATGCTCGTAACTTTAATATTATCTTATTCCAATGCAAGCTATGAAAGCATTTTTGTAGTCATCAAAAAATTAAGATGTTAAGCATGCTATTCATAAATCTCTTCATTCATAATTTATAAATAAATTGTAAGTATTTTTGATGATGATTATATATATATATATTTCTTATCTCAATCTAGAATTTAATATTTCATTTTCTTTTTCTGTAGCAATCAGAATCCAAAAACCTCATAAAAATGCATGGTTTATGGGTTCTGAATTCCCCTATGATTATTTGTGATTTAAAATATTTGCTGTAATAATATATTAAAAGATTTAGGGATACTTTTACTTAAGTAGTAACATGAAAATTTCTAATTAAGTTTGCATATAATTTACAAAAAGTATTTTAGTAATTATATTTTAATTGCTATGGATTTTGAATTAAATGTTGACCAGCTAATTAAAAAATATACTTTACATTAACATACTTACATACTGACAGGTGACTGGTTTTGCTGTAGGTTGAAGTCCTTGTAAGTGATCAACAGTTTTTCTCCGTAGGATGTCCGAAGTTTGTTCAGAGTTTCTTTGTTGAAAAGGAAGTCGTCCACTAGCCAAGCGTAATGTAACCTGTCGTAACTATGTATAAAACTTAATTCATCTCCAATAACTGCAGTGTAAAGGACCACAAAATTTTTTAGGTTTCTTCTAGCCATTAGTTAAATACTGGTCCTTATTTTGTGTTGCATGCATGTTCCTTTCTGCTTGTCTTTGTGTAATATTTCCATGTTCCAAAGAACAGTTTCACAATCTGCAAATGACACTTTGGGGGAAATTCAAAGACTTTGCTATAACAGGTTGCATTTGGTTGTAGGAACTGTAACAGTTTGCTAGATGACCATTAGTCTTTCAGGCTGCTGTTTCAGCTAAGTCATGTTGTTGAGACATTTTATTCAGTGCTATGAAGCAATCAACAAAAGACAGTCACAGCTAACTGGTATACCACTAAGTGTCTTCAGAAATTCTTCAAGAACTGAATGTTGGAGGATTCATTCTCCACCATGGCATTGCAGCCTCTCATTCAGCAAGATTAATAGTTGAGTTTCTTGAACAAAAATACATCAAAATTATAGAACATCCACCTTATTCACTCAATCTAGCAATGTGTGATTTTTGGCTAATTTTTAATCTAAAAAGGAACTGTGGACATAATTTTCATCCCAAAGATAAGGCTATAAATTCATTTA